GGATATCATCGTTTTTAAGTCATCAAAGAAACGCCTAACATATCCCTCTCCATAGCTAGCTGAGTGACTTTGAGCTTACTCATATGGCCAGCAGTGAAGGACCATGTCTCAGATCCATAGGTCATCACTGGCAACACGCACTGGTTGAACAATCTAGTTTTGAGGTATGTCTAACGAGAAGATGTGTCGTAATCTCCCGAACGCTGCCCAGCCGAGTTGAATCCGTTGATTGACCACTCGGTCGAAGTTTGACTTACCTAGTCGGACTATTTGTGGGTGTATTTGTTTATGTAAGGGTATTTATGTGGTCTATGGTACTAAAGCCTTTTCGGAAACCGGCTTATTCGGGAGGTTGGAAGTCTTCAAGTCTGAATGCGAAACGATTGTTTGTAGACGCGGCTCGAAAGGGAAATCGGTCTGTAGTACTTCTAGCGAGCGTTGTCGCCTTTCTTGAAGAACAAAACCACCGCACTTCTGCTCCACGCTTCCGGAGTAGTGTCTCCATGAAGGACGGAATTAAAGAGCTTCTTAAGGACTTTAGGTACCGGTTTTCCATCCGCTTTCAAATGCTCCGCTGTTAATCCATTCTCGCCCGGGGATTTGCAGTTTTTAAGGTGCTGGAGAACCATTTTATTCTCGCTCATACTGACGTCCGGGATATCATCAGAATAGTGTCGGATAAAACTTGCTCTTGGATCGTTACTCACACTTGCGTGTAGCTCCAACGATGACGTGTACAGCTGCCCATAGAACCTCTCAATCTCACTCAAATATCTAAGGTGTCTCGAAAACAATGCTGCCACATTCAGTCTTTAGCTACGACAGTTGGCACTTTTTGGCAGACAGATCTGTGGCAAAGACTTTGGAGCTCTGGTTCCGCTCCATCGCTTCCTCAATATGTGCAGTATTAAAGTTGCGTAAGTCCCGCCGCATGCATTAGGAGATCTGTCTGTTCAGGTGCTTGTATGCTATCAAATCTACTGAAGAATGCAACTTCATTTCCCGTGTAACAGCCATGAGATTAAGAGTGTGGTCGGAGAGATTTTGTGTTCTTTTTGCGGCGGATCTTGCAAAACTTAGCTTCAACCACATGGACAGTTTCCACGAGCTTGTCATTTATATCGTCCACTGAATTGCAATCTTCTATTCATTGAAAACGATTTTGTAACTCGAGCTGAAACTTTTCGGGAGTTTGGATTAGAACACGAGGGGGACGGTCCGTTGACTTCATTAGACGTGACTTCTCTAACTTAACGTTTAGATTCAGTGTGCCTCTAATCATTCGGTGATTGCTACCAGTTTTCACCGTTGCGATCACTGAGACATCACTGAACAGTTATCGTCTGGTCGCCATAATGAAGTCAATCTCATTTTTGGTCGAAACGTCGGGGCTCGACCAGGTCCACTTCTTGTGGGGCCGCATCTGGAAGAAAAAGTTCATCATAAAGAAGTCCTCTTTCTCCATGAAGTCGGCCGGCTGCTGGCCTTTTGGGTTTCGTTGCCGTACTCTGAATTTCTCTACCTTCAGCTCACCGTTCTCTCTTGTGCCTAGTTTTGCGTTGAAGTCTCCCATTAACACCGTATAGTGGGTTTGGAGGAATGCATGGCTCTAGATATATCCTCATACATTTCCTCCACCTCCTCATCGGGGTGTGCCGAGGTTGGTGCGTAAACCTGTATGACCTTCAGCGAATACCGTTTGGTGATTCTTAGAATGTAACCCACGTCGACACACTCCCAATCTTTACAACATTGTTAACGAGAGACTTGTGGACGATAAATCCGATACCTCCTTGAGACAGATGGTCGCCCTCCCGGTGATAGAACAAGTTGCCGGATTCGAGGATTACCGTGTCCTCCCCCTCTCTTCTAAATTTGGATAATTCTATTATATTCCAGCCCAACTTATCTATCTCTTCTTCCAGCTGCAGGATCTTTTTGTCAGTCTTCAGGGTGCGTGCGTTATAAGTTGCCAGGTTGAGTCGTCGTAGGTGGCAACTGTACCTCTACCGGAGATTCTTAGCACCCCCTGCCCCGCCATTAACATGGTCGCCACCGCAGCCAGGAATAGCGGGGCCACCGAAAATTGGGGGCCGTTAATTAGTATTAGTTATTTTGCCATAGTTGTTACGCTTGGCGCGTGGGTTGGCAACCGCAGTTTTTTTATTGTTTTTTTGCTGTTATCAGAAAGATGCTGCTGCCCATCTTCTACCTCAGTTTCCCACTGTCGCCTTTTACGACACCCACGGGAAGATATGGGTTTGTGGGTATTTTTACCCGCCACTACAGGGGGCCATTACCCGTAATAAATACAAATTAGACTTGTAAAGACGAGGTTGTTTACGAATGCACAACGTTAATCGATAGGGCGATGCAGTAGCCACGCGATGCTGTAAGACAAAGAGCTAAGATGATCGACGTTATTATTTTATAATAAACCTTCAGCTTTTAGTGATTGATTTTGATTCGATCTATTAAAAATGAATATTGAAATAAGAACGTTTTGTTGATATCAATGACCTCACGATTCATCATTTATAGCAATCGGTTTTTCGACGCAATAACAACCTACTACTGACAATAGGTGCCGTAAAGTACTCGAAGAATCAGAAATTTAAAATTAGTTAAAATAAACGCTGTAATGTTTTTTTACTCATTTTTAGTAAGTAGTTAGCACATTTTAGTTGTTGGTATTATTCACGGAGATTAATTTAATTTCGATTACAAAGCGGAAGAAAATGCAAATTTAACTGAAGTGTTAAGTGAAAGTAATATATCTTAATATTCATGATTGTAAATCGAAATGCCTTGTAATTACACGTGAATTCCACCAGTTCGGTTTTTAATCAAGTTTTATGGGGATAGGAATGAGTCAATCACGTCCGTAGGCTTCGACCACCTAACCCTAGGCCCACTCTACACGTGTCCCCTGGGTGTTAAACGAGTGACAAAGCCGAAAGGATAGACTCGGTTCCTCCTGGTATAGGTGTAAAATCTACCACCTGATTTGTTGGCTCATGGTACGAACTAAGGGGCCATCGCAACATGAGCCAATAAATAAAAGAAATGGCCCCGAGTTCGCAGCGGCCCTTTGATGGGGCAGGGGTGCGAAGAATCTCCAGGAGAAAAACCGGTGACGAGGTTTGCCATTCGTCACGTTGTGTCTCCTGGAGGGGCGAAAAGTAGAATAAGGAGACCCGTCTGGCTACGCTGAATGGAGCAATAAATGATAAGATGGATGAAGTTTGCGAAATGATGAACGATAGAGGAATAGATGTGTTATGTGTAAATGAGACGAAACAAAAGGGAAAGGACACACCCATGCGTATACCGTTTACTGACCTGGTGTAGACGAGACCGAGCGGGCATGCCAGAGAGTCGGTGTCATCCTTTCAGAAAGAATGGGTCAATGTGTGGAAGAGTATGAATGTGTATGCCCAAGGCTGCTATGGATACGAATGAAAGTGGGCTTAAAGACGTTGTTTGTACTAGGGGTGTACGCCCCAGACATGTCTAAGCCCACTTATATCAGAGAGCAGTTTCGGGGCATGGTAAGGATGGTTTTGATGAAAGTAAGGGAAATGAAAACATTATTATGTTAGGAGATTTTGATGGAAGGGTTGGGGTCTGGTTGGTTGTGAAAAGATATTGGGAACATTTGGCGATTAAAGTATAAATGAGGATGGTGAAGACCTCCTCACCGTATGTGTGGATTTTTTTTGTGACGAAACTTTGTTTCGTCATAACAGGATTCACATGTATACATGGGAAAGAGGTGATGATAGAAGCATGATATATTTCATAATTGTGGATGAAAAAACGAGGAGCACAGTGGTCTTACGCCGAACTAATGGTCTATTCAGGCGTTGGCGGCATCGGACATCTATGTCTACCATTACGTTAAGGCCTTAACAGTGGTTGAAATGCCTAAATCGTGAATATTTAAGTAAAAAAATCTCAATAATTGATCATTTTATCCACAAAGAAAAAATACACGGTAACAGAAGAGGATTTGGTAAATGTTTTTAATTGAACAAAATTGTATTTTTGTCAACCCCTTATTAGGAAAAAAATCAAAAAGCTTTTACAAAAATTTACTTCGCAAATATCCGCGTTATGATATAAAATGATGTATCTTACCTAGTATGAAGAGCACCTCCCGCCCTCCCTCAATTGCGTGCACTATCCCCGTCACCACTAATCCCAGCACCGCTACTCCCAACGCCACTACACTAGGCAAGACACACCACTGGCAATAATACGACACGTGTTTCGCCTCTACACGAGGCATCCTCAGGTGATATAGACGGTTAGCGACCGTAGAGTCTATATCAATTAGCAATTGAGGGAGGGCGGAAGGTGCTCTTCATACTAGGTAAGACACATCATTTTATTTTATAACGCGGATATTTGCGAAGTAAATTTTTGTAAAAGCCTTTATATAATGGATTTCCGCAAAGTAACGCCTGATTCTATTAATTATAAGGAAAAAAATCCCCAAAGAGTACCTTCTTTGTCATATTTTGCAAAATTTCTCCAAAACGGCACAAAGCTTTTTAAATAGTTCTTACGCTAAAAAAAGGTCTTAAAAATATTAATATTTTGAATTGAGAGTTTCATTTTTATTCCCCGTTTTATAAGAAAATATATTATTTTTCCCTGAAATTGAATATATTTACGCGGGTGCGCATGCTCCGTCGCCCTGTCGCAGTCCCACAGACTAATATGATACTAACGTATCAGACAGGGCACTCCCATAGAACAAAAGTGAACTAGTCTAAGCTCACATATCATGTATGACAAGCTGTCATTGACAGCTTTTTTTTTAAATTTGCTATAGTCACGATCAAAGCGTGGTACGATACAGCCTACTTTTATAGGACCTAGATAAAAATATTCATTTTTATCTATTATTCTAATTAAATAATACGAATCCATAAATGATTAGATGGATTCGATTCGAGCTTGTTAGAAGGGGAATGTATAAGAAAAAAACAGTGTTATTTAAATATTTTTTTATTTCTTAATTTTGTTTTTAATTTATTAAGAGCTTTTAATTGCATTTGAGGTAAAGCTTTATTTTCTAATCTTAGGACATCTGTACCTTTCAATATTTTATTTATGACATTGCACCAATTAAACACTGTCAATCTTAAAGTTAATGTTAAAAAGTGTTCAGAAACAGCATCTTTATGCAGTTCGCAGTTTATAAAGTCAAACAAATACTTAGACTTGATGAGAGTTTTTATATTTTTTATAATATAACTCTGTTGAGGTTTGGTTTCTAAGTATTTGTTTGCTTTTTGTGTTATTATCCCAAAAAATCTTACGGCATGTTCCGAAGGGTAGATCAGTTTCTTTTCTTTTATACTTTTAAATTCTTTAAGGTAAATCCAATTATTGATAGAACTTTTATCATAATTGGATTCCCTATTTGTTAAATCAGCTTCACATTGCCGACAATTATTATTTTTTAGTATATTTCTTATGACCCACCCAGCGGTATATGCACGTGAGTGAACATTAATTGTTTCCTGCTTTGCTGAACTTTCACTTTCTACCCAACTCGATAGCTCAGAGGACTCAAATAAATGGATTTGCTTAGTATTATCAGATTTTTCTTTTGTACAAAACAATGATTTTAATTTTAATAATTGTTCACCAGAATCCTCTTCACAATTATAACTATCTGAGTGGAACTTTATAAACCTTGTAATTAACAGTGATCTAAAGGTACTTTTGAATGTTTGGCAATTTGGATTCGTATTTCTAAAATTGTACGCACGCATTTGTCCAAAAAAGTTTTCAATAGGATCAGAATTTAAATACCGCGGGCGCAAAAATTTAATATTTTTTTCACTTAGATATTGCCATAATCTCTGGTAGCTTTTGAGAGTTGTTATCCAGTTTTTTAATGAAGGCACAGATGTTTCTTTACCTTGATTATCTATAAATTTTATGCTTTGCAGTTTTAGGATTGCTTCCCTCCAAAATTTGTGATGTGAGGATTTTTCCGTTACTGCTTGTCTTAAAGCTTTTCCTTTGGATGTTTTATTATATGAAGTTCCATTAACTGAGTCAAAGAGGTCGTCGAAGAATGATATAATTTCAGCTGTATTTTTCAAAGTTGAGCTTACTTGCTTTCCATCTGCATAATGAGCTGAAAAAAATTAGGTTCAATTCAATTTTAATTTATTTCAAGAAGTTAAAGTTTAGCTTTGACTCAAGCTTAAAATATTATGCAAAATTTAGCTTAGGAACTTACAAAACTGAGCAGTATATGATAACGCAGCAGCTACTGTCTTGCTAAACACTCTAGTGCAATTTTTAACCTGAAATATAAATAAAAAACAAACTAAAAACTATTAACAGAAAAATAGCACATTTTTACTATTTCACAATGTGAAGAACATACAAATACACAGATATTTAATAAAATAATAATTACCTTCATCTTTTTAATTTTCTCTGGAATCACATGTTCATCATTTAATTTATGTAAAAGCCTCATCTGTGCAAGATTGCAGTCTGTTTTATACACTTCAACAATGTCACTCCATTTTGAAATCTTTTCATTATATTTTATATCTTTATTTAGGAAATTATTTCTTAATCCTTTTATTAGATGAGGTGGATCATGAATTACACTAAGTGTATGGCCATTAATTACAATCACGTCATCTGAAAAATAATTACAATGTAGCTACAAACACCACTCCACAATTTTAATTTTGTTGGCAAGAGATTACATATAAAAATGGCAAGGCCTACTCACCAATCCTTTCACCTGAAATTATTTGCTCTCGCCTTGTGTCCTCTTGAAGGCTCTTCAGGGCAGATTGAAATGCTGTGCCCTGATCACAGACTAGAGCCACTGGTCTAAGTCCTGTGTTACCTACAGCTGTTATCATGTCCTTGATAATATCTTTTAATTCAACTCCTGAAGTTGCTCCTTTACAGAAGTAGAAGGCCAGGGGTTGTTGCCACTTGTGAACAACTCCCCGCAACATAAAGACAAGGGCATGGTCAGCAAAATCACTTGTTTTTTTGTTAAGTTCAACAAATCCACTAATTAAATCTTTATGTTTGTCATAAGACACTGCCACTTCTAAGGCCACTTCATCAAACAGTATGGAACAATATTTTTTCTTTTCATCCCAAGTGTTGACCTGTAAGCAATATAATTAGTCAATATTTATTTTCATATACAAACATACAGTGTAGTGGTAGCCACTGTGGATAACCACTTGGTTTTTATAGTATAAGAGTGACAAACGAGCACACAGTCCACCTGATGATAAGCATATTCTGCAGTTCATAGACGTCAATATCTATCTTCGATTGTGAATCAAAATGCAGATGCATTGCCACCCCTGAGGACCGAGATGGAATACCTCGTTTCCAGTTTTCTACACTCACCACACAATACACATCGACATTAAGCCGCTATTTAACGCTGATATTCTGTGAGAGCGTGGTTCAATCCATTCGTGCTACAACCATAATAGAGCTGCAGCGTGGCTCTACCACATTTAAAATTTACTTGCAAATTTCGATGCTGATTTACCACATACTTAACAGTGCAGAAAAACATCGAGAAGAAATCTGCATGCTTAAAACAAAAAATAAAAGAAGACATGCTTTCAAACTGTAAACATCAACAGCCTAACATTGATGCAACCAGCAGCACAAGTAGACTGTAGCTACATATTATATAATATATAGATTATGGAAAAAGTAAATTTATTAAAAAAAATACAGTGCCTCTGTTTTGATAGCATCAAATATTTGAAAATTGATTCCTGCTTCTATATTCAATTTAGCTATCATTTTGTTTATGGTATATTTTGACGGTAAGATAAATATTCTATGAAGAAATCTATAGCACTTTGGGCTCTGTTTCATTATCGCCATTGCTATCAATTTTTCTTCATCAGAAAATCGCCTGCCCCTGGCTTTTTTAGTACATTCTTTAATCTGCATCCATAAAAACTTTTTAGCAATTGGATTCAATTTTTCTGTGAGCTTTACAAATGACTGTTCTTTTGAAAATTTCACCGCCTGTTTTGCTCGTGTTTTGAAATTAAGCTGCCTCTGTGATTTTCTGTATTGCCTGTAAAGCTTAGCACAATGCGGTGACAGCTTATTTGTCTGTATGATATGCTGTTTTCTCCTTGTTATTGGAGAATGAAGCGCATTTTTATCTAAAATAAAAAAAAAGGAAATAAGAAAAACAAGTTAAATACCTCCTTCAAATACTCAATGTAGCATTTTCTACTGTAACATAGATTGGGTGTACAGTTGATGTTTTTACATCATGTAACACATGATTACTAACAATAAATATGGGGCATCATTAATTCTATCTACATATAGCGAAAGATTTTTTAACACATAAAAAGAAAAAGCATGTAGTCATAAACAACTTACTACATGTACCAAGTGTGTGAGAAATATATAAATTTAGTATTATTATTTTTATAAAAAATTTACTGTCAGGTATGCAAATGCTAGTGATTACTAATATTTAAATTTCTTACCTGCTGTTGGTACTTCCATGGTTCCACTTTCATATGTAGATGTAGAAGGTTGTTGGTAGGAATTTATATCTGATTCCGTTTCTGTAATATAACAGATTTGTTCTTTCATTAAAGAATGGAATAGAATAGAATAATTTTTATTCAATATAGAATATTCCGTAATACTTATTAAAAGTAATTTTTTTTATTTACCACTAGTTCAGAAAATACCTCTGTCCTGGGAAGAACTAGCAAGAAACCCAGCGGGCCTTTTTTTAAACATATTTCACTTAACAATAATTTTGTTTGTACAATTTTTAAATGACTTTAATAGAATAAGCATGGTGGCGATCACCTCATTCCTATGGATGAATTTCATTTATAAATTTTTTGATATTATAATAACCCTTTCTGTATAATTATTCTTTAACAAAACATTTAAACTTGTTTATTGACAATTTTTGTACATTTTCTGGGATTTTTTTGTAAAAGCATATACATACATTGCCCCATAAATGAATCACTAATTCTGTGGAATCTAGTAAATGGTATTAGAAGCTTATGTTTGTTCCTAGTGTTTAAATTACGAACACCTTTAATCTTATCAAAGCTATTTATGTTTTTATGTACATAAATTACATTTTCATAAATATATTGCAATGTCAAAGTTATTATGTTTATTTATTTAAAATTTACTCTAAGGGACTCTTTACAATTTAAGTAATAAATCACCTATATAGCTCTCTTTGCAAAACAAATATAGTTTCAATGTCAGTCGCATTACCCCCATAGCAAAATTCCATAAGAATCACACTATAAGTAACTAAAATAAACTAATCTAGCTGTCTTAATATTGGTGAAACTTCTAATCTTTCTTATAGTGTATACTGCAGAACAAAGCTTGCCTGCTAATTTAGATATATGGGGGTCTGATTGAAGCTTTGCATCAATAGTAATATTGAAACATAGACAGAAACACAAATTACGGATGCTAAATAAGCAATTTAATAGATTGTTGTATATCATGAGAATATTTAATAACTCCTTATAAAATTATTAGAAAGAATTGAAGGGAAACTTACCAGTGTTGTCAGTATTTGAAGCCTTAAAGCGTTTTTCTACAACTTCTGGAATACAGTAGGTGTGATCCAAATGCTGCCTTTTTTTACAATAATTGTGATCATTATTGCTTTTCTCTGAAAAAAAAACAGCAGATAATAGTAACATTAGTATATAAATAAACATAGCAACAGGTAGAAAGTTTAATCAGGGGATCTGTTTAACATTCAAATGAATGCTGAAAAATTTGACATTGGCAACATTCTTTGAGAAGTTATAGGACAAAGTAAGTTAGTTTGTAAACAACAGGTACTAATTATAGCTTTACACTTTCATCATCATCACAGCATTTCACAAGTCCACTGCTGAACATAGGCCTTACATAGCTTTACACTTAACCATTTTGTAATTTTTTCTACATTTTATTAAAACATGGTAGAGCCACACTACAGCTATCTTATGGTTGTAACATGAATAGGTCAGTTCCACCAGGGTAGAACCATGCTTTTACAGAATACCAGTATAAAAATGGCAGCTCAATGTTGCTATGTTTTGCACAGTGAGTGTAGAGAAAAAGAGACACTTTTTACTGGAAAAGAGGCATTCCATCTTAGTCCTCACGGCTGACAACGCATCTGCATTTTGATTCTTAATCGAGGATAAATGTAGATGTCTATAGGCCACAAAATCCAATTACCATCACGGCAAAAAACATTTAGAAAGTTAAAATTACATATTAAATATATCTTAAGATTAGAATTGTAACACCAATAATTACTAGATTAATAGCAAATGCAATAGCCTGGACGAAATTGCAATAGCTTTATACATATATCCTGACATAAAAAATATATCAGAAACTGACATAATACATCACAAGCACTCATGTAAATTAATCTGTAATATAAGTTTGAGGCATTAAATACCTAAGAATTCAGAATATCCTATTAATATTATTAATGTGAAAGTTTGTGAGGATGTATGGATGTTTGGTACTCTTTCATGCAAAATCTACTAAATGGATTTTAATTAAACTTTGCAATTATATGGCTCATACATCGGAATAACACATAAGCCATAATTAATAAAGATATTGTGTAAATTGGCTAAAATATAACGTGTCGGAAAAAAAACACGACTTCTGTTTGAACATGCATCACACAAAAACCTGTGAACCGATTTGGATTGGACTTTCACTGGCAGATAGTCGATGTTATAAGGAGTAACTTAGGCTACTTTTATTTCAGACAGCGAGTGTAACCATATTTGTGATGCAACATCACTTTAATGTAGTAGTTGATCACAATACCTTTGTACTTACCAGTTTCAACGGCGATTCTTGCAACCGTTTGCGGAATACCAGTGGACATCTCGCTAACAGTAAACAACGTTGGATAGGCGTTTGGGCAAAGACGAACTCTTTCGCGCGTGATTGCGAGAAACCTCTTCTCAAAATGTTTGCGACAAACAAAATGTTTACGAAGTTTCTGGGAACTCAAGCTTCGCAGTCTTTCACAATTAATACACTGTAACCATTTATTGAGTCCTATCTCACTTTTTGGCAACATATAAAAACTGACGTCCTTTCGTCTACTAGTACACGTTGGAACACAACACTTGTTATACATGTTGCAAGACAAGGTAGTATTACAGCTTCAGGAATTGAGAGGATTAGTTACGGAAATAAATCAACGCAAAACTACACTCGATCAACTTTGAAACTGTAATAAAAATAACGGACACTGTGACAGTGACAGAAATTCATAAGAGGTGTGAAGGAGGGGAAGGGAGGTGAAAGAAGCTGTCACATACGATATGTGAACCATAGACTAGAGTTTCTAATAACTTGTATGAAGATTACCTGCCGTGCGCAGTCCGTTTTCGGACATCGTCGAGGGTGGACCGCGCGTCGGTGTTGGAGCGACTTCGTTCAAATATATATTAGTTTTTTAAATGTTTATACTCAATTATAAAAATGTTTAATACTAGAAATACTTAATTTAGTTAATATCTGTACACTGGTAACTGTAAATATTACTTTCTAAATAAATTAATGTTTAAAGTGCCCAAAGAAGAAGAAATTTTCGCGGTGACGTTGATTAGTGAAATTGAAAAATGCATTTTTATATAATTTAGATGTGGAACGACGAACATGCTCTCGTTACGCAGATTAATGATAAGTCATCGCGAAGACTCCGCGATGAATTATCCATAATCTATGTCTCGTTACTTAGATTTCGATAGTTTTTAATACCTATGTAATTTTATTGTTGCATATTTTTATTAATTAGTTGATACTGAATTTTATAACTATGTATTACAATAAAACGATGTTTTTACGAGTATGACTTTATAAAATATTATTGGGGAGGGAAATATAGATACAGATACTTACATTTAGGTACACTGTTATTAAATTAATGATACCAAAACTCGTTAAAACTACGGGACGAAATAGGCTGACGGTTTAAGATGCTCTTAAGCCACCACCATGAAATTCTAATATGGTAGATGGCAATGATCATTTACTATAATTAGAATTTCACAAAAACGTCCGAATGTATTGAAAAATTGAAAATTGAAAAAAATTTTTTGCAACATAAAACAATTTATACATATCAATGTGGCCCTAACTGCTGTAAAAGGTTGACCTGAGTAACAGGAGATAGTTCCATCCTATATTTAGCAAACTTTTGTTGAATAAAAACACAAAAAAAACATATAGACACGTGTTTCTAAATCTACGTGCGTGCGCGCGCGCGCCCTGTGCGTGTGTGTGTGTTTGTGTGTGTGTGTGTGTGTGTGTGTGTGTGTTTGTGTGTGTGTGTGTGTGTGTGTGTGTGTGTGTGTGTGTTTGTATGAGTGAGAGACAGAGAGAGTGAGTGTGTGTGCGCACATTATTTTAATTTTTAAATTAAAAAATATATGTATGTTGTATAAATTTTTTGTGAATTTACTTGAAACAGTGTACTAAATTAGCTTTACAGCTTATAAAAGTCCACAACTTTCTCATAGATTGTCTCAGGCAGGATTTTGCCATATTTCCCACGCTTGACAAGCGGGTTGGCAACCGCAGTTTCTTTTATTATCTTGAGTTGTTATCAGGAAGATGCTGCTGCCCATCTACTGTTTTAGTTCCCCTCTGTCGTCTCTTATGACACCGACCGGACGATATTGGGTAGTAAATACTCATACACCGCCAATACACGGTTTAAACGGTACTAAGTTTAGAAGCTTTAAAAGGCTATTTTTACTACATTTTTAAAAACAATTTTATAGAAAGCCGTAAATGACAGATTTATAGAAAGCACTAAGCTCCAGAAAATGTTTTATGTATACATAAACACATAAAGTAATAGATTAACGATAATACCATATTATTTGTCATAAATTCAAATGTATATAATATGTTTTTCAATTTTACGCCGAACACTTTTGTTATACGACGTCTGTATAAATCTATATTTTCATTACTTATCATTAAATCGTAGTCCTTGTTATCGAAATGAGTATTGCTGGATATATAAATCGATTTTATATTACATATTAGATGATTATTAGAAAAATTCATCCAAGATATTTGAGCAGAAATTTCGTGATGTTTGCTAACTAACAATTGTACCGTTTGGAAGTTTCTTTCCTGGTTTGCCACTCCTTTTAAATTGAGAGAAAAACAGGAGGAGAGAGGAAGGGGGTGATCTACAACAGGGTTTTTTATTTTGTCATGGCTAAGTTTTACATATGTAGATACATAATATGTACATGGACAAACATTAAAATAATTATTTGTAGGCTATATAAAAATTTGTACGGTATCGAATGCGTGTTTACATAAATTTATATTTGGGTATCTCTTACAGGCAAACAGACAGACAGTCTTCTTTTTTATATATTATGCTGGAGAAGTTGGCTCTGTCAAAAACATCTTCTATATCTATGCAGGAACTTATTTCTTTCATTTGGATGACCTCTTCAATCCTTGTTGTTACCTGGTAAAGTGCTCGATGTTTGTCGATTTCCCAAAGCTGTAATAGATGTAATGCTTGTCGTGTAGCAATAAGTTTATTAGCGTCAACCCCCGAAATTCCCTTTCATACACCCTCTAAATCGTCTTTAGGAGAAAGGATATGTGGCTAATGGGCCTATATGATTTTGGGTTTCTATATTTGCTATCATCACTCCATCCCCTAGGAACATATCTGAAGGCCAGACATGCTCTTATTATGACAACAAGATTTCGTTACCACTCTCTGTGCTAAATGCCAGTCTTCAGTTGTTGGTATCAGTACATTTTTATGCCGGTTCATCCACTGAGTTACATGGGAACCTGGGAAGTGCGTTTCTATTAAGATGCGTTGGGTTTCATCCGACGATATTGAATAACTTCCATCGGGTTCCTTTAAAGAGATGGATTCCGGCGTGTTTTGTTTAGCTATGATTTTCCTTATTCGACGACGCGCTATTCGGGCCATGAATTGCTCGACAGTCTCCATCCTCAAGTTGGCCGCGATGACGTCGTTCCGGACGTAGCGACCAGCACCGACGATGGTCCGTAGTGACAAGTTCAGCTGGACCTGTAATCGCCGCTTCTGATGATCGCTCAGGAGTGCGTACCAGGCCGGCGCAGCATATGTGAATTTGGATCTAATGTACATTTTATAGATTTTGATTTTCGTTTTGAGAGGTAATTTTGATGTTAGGACCGGACGGAGCGCCGCCCGCGCACATCTGGCGTTGCGGACGGCGATATTGACGTGCGCGGTCATGCATCCGGTCGATCCGGCACCCTAGGTACGTCACTGTCTTCTGGTAGGTGATCTCCTGGCCCCTGAGCGTCAGTGGTGGTGGAAAGATCCTGTAGCGGCGAGTGAGCAGAGGGGTCGTCTTGCCAACGTTGACGGCCATCCTCCACTCGTCTAGCCATAGTGGCAGCAGGTCCAGCAGGCGCTGTATCCTGGCAGTGGCTATGTGAGCTCTTCTAGACGATGTGAAGTAGGCACTATCGCCCGCGTATAGCGCTAATTCAACATCGTCTTCCCATTTGCGGAGGTGGTCTGCCAGGGTGGGGATGTCATTGGTGTAAGCCGCGTACAGGATCTGCGACAGACAGCTGCCCTGTGGTACACCGGCTCTAATTGGTCTTGCGTGGTCAGACGTAGAACTTCCTCTGAGAAATGACGCCACTAGCCGCAACATAGCAGGAAGGGTACTTGTTTGTTTCTAATTTATAAAGTAGTCCAGTGTGCCACACCCTGTCGAACGCCTTCTCTAGATCGAGAAAGACGCCCAACGATGTGCGGCCGCGGTTGTACTCGGCCGCAAGATAGTGCAGCACCGTGGTCATATGTTTTGCTATTGAGTGGCCCCTCCTGAATCCGTGATGTTCCGCCCGAAGTTGTACGCACGGGCGGAAGCTTCTTAGCAGCAATCTTTCGCACAGTTTAGCTAAGTGCAGTAGCAGCGTGATCGGCCTATAACTGGCTGCTCTATACCTGTCCTTCCCGGGTTTCGGCAGAACGATCACTTTGCCGATTTTCCAGTCCCCCGGGAAGTGAGATGTCCGCAGTATACCGTTGTAGAGACAACCTAGCTCTATAAGTGTTCTGTTAGGCAGCTGTCGGAGTGCTGCGTTGGTTATCCCGTCATGCTCCGGCGCCTTCCTAGGTTACAGGCGGGCTACTGTCCTCCGCAATAGGGCGGGGGATATAAAATACTCTTCTGCAAGCGGTGGCGCGGGCGATGACAGGAACTCCTGTACGCGGCTTTCCTTCCGGGTATGAAGTTCCATGAACTCCGCACTTGCTGGGTTCGGCATAAATAGCTTCTCGAAGTGCTCTGCTAGGATATCCGCTCTACCTTTGGCCTCGTAACAACGTTTCAGCGGTCGTTGGTCAGCGGGCAAACGGCGGGTCTGGTTTTTGTTAACTGCCGGTTCAGTTTGTAAAGCGACGCTTGTTTTTGATATGCGCCGCTTCCAGGCCTCTTCTCTGTGGGCCCGGACTGCAACCGACCGTTCATTCGACAAGGTGTTCAGCTGCGTTTTAATTCTGGGGCAGCGAGTACGCGCCCAGAGCTTCCTCAATGCTCTCTTGCGATTGAGCTGCACGCAGATCTCCCGTGGCAGCTCTTCCCTCCTTCCAGTGGTTGGGACGATCGTAGAGGCCGCGCATAGGGCCTCCTGTATCGTCTTTATAATTCTCTTTGCAGCGGCCTCTACATAGTCCGCTGTGTTAATTGGGGTATAGGTTAGAGGTCTCTCCGTTAGGTGTTTCTGGTAGAGCCTCCAATTGATCTTCCTTTTGAGAGCTCCGGGCAGCGTAGTCACTGCCTTGAGGCCAAGGGTGACGAGAATCGGGAGGTGCTGTGAACTTAGGTCGTACAGCACCTCTACCACTATTGGGCGTTGACGTTCCTAGAGAGCACGATGTCCAATACATCCGGACATTTCCGATGATCCGTAGGGACGTGCGTTGGTTCATCGGGACCTAAAACATCATAGCCGTTTCTCTCGGCGTCTTTGTAAAGTTCAAGAACGGCGGGGTGATCACTCTGGACCCCACGCCGAGTGTTTCGCGTTTACGTCCCCCGCGAGGATGGTAGATGCTACGCCTTTCATTACCGTCCGGATGTCTGAGGAGCAGAATGGAGTCCCTGGCGGGCGGTATGCTGCGTAGATCCTTAGTTCCTCGCCCGCCGCCTCCATTTTTATGCCGATAGAGCGCATCGTTTCGTATTTTGGCAAGTCCAGTTCGTGATGGACGATGTCTCTCCTCACTAGAACCACCGTGCCTCTGTAGGCGGTCCCTTGACGATTGACTTCGTCCCTTCTGTAGATATGGTAGTTTGGCAGCTTAAGATGCATCGATGGATTCAATTTTGTCTCTCCCAGCAATAATAATAATAATAATAATGCAGGCTGATAAGCTTCAGGTCGGGCAATAATAGGCCGCGAATTGTGCGCACCGTCAGAATGGCGTTTGCTGGGACAAATATCAGTTTGTCCCAGCCGGATATAACGCAAAAACTGACGGAGCGCATAGACGACCTGAAGCAGAGAATCGCTGCTTGGGGGAAGCGGATTCGGCGATATACCGAGAGGTCGACACGGTTCAACCAGAATTGTCTCTTCCAGAGTTATCAGAAGAGGCTATATAAATCATTGGAGCGACCAATGGTACGTGGAACAGGCCAAGCACCGAATCAGGCCGACACTGTCGCATTCTGGCGCGGCCTGTGGTCAGAGCCCGTAAACCACAGCGAGGGCCCTTGGACGGAAGTTGTGGTGAGTCAGTGTGCGAATCTTACGCCCATGGACCCCGTCATTATAACGCCGGACGATGTAGCTGAGGCGGTCCGAAGGGCCCCGAACTGGAAAAGTCCGAGGCTCGACGGGCTGCATCACTACTGGCTGAAGGGGTTCGTGGTGTGTCACGCTGTGCTCGCCCGACAATTTCAAGAGGCTCTCGACCAAAAGTCGCTCCCGAGCCTCTTCACTACTGGGATCACTCATTTGGTTCCTAAAGACCGGGATACCATAGACCCGAGCAAATACCGCCCCATCACGTGTCTACCCACGATATATAAGACATTAACATCCATTTTGAGCGCGAGAATCACTCGTCACCTGAACTCAAATCAGGTGATGTCGCGCGCTCAAAATGGATGTCGGGGCGGTGGTCGTGGAACCAAGGAACCACTCCTCATTGACGCGGTCATTGGCAAAGTGGTTAAACGCAACCGTCGGAACCTATCCGCCGCCTGGATAGACTACAAAAAGGCATTCGACTCGGTGCCTCATACATGGCTGAAGAGGGTCCTCGAGCTGTACAAGGTTGACTGTACAGTTAGAGACTTCCTCGGGCAGTGTATGGGGCAGTGGAGTACGATCCTTTGTCATCTAGGAGCGGATGACGGCTGCGGAGAACCACATAAGGATAAGAAGGGGTATCTTCCAGGGCGATTGTCTGAGTCCAATCTGGTTCTGCCTCTCTCTGAACCCTCTCAGTACCTTACTGGAGGGCTCCGGGAGGGGATTTCAGCTTCGGAGAAGAAGTACAAAAGTGACGCACCTTTTCTATATGGATGATCTCAAGTTATTGGCCTCCAGTCGCTCTCATCTTGTGGAATTGCTAAACATCACTTGTGATTTTAGCAATTCTATTAGAATGGAGCTGGGGACGGATAAGTGTGCGGTCCTCCATGTCGAAAGGGGTAGAGTTGCTAACTCTGAGGGCATAGATTTATCTATGCCCATCAACATAAGGACCCTTTCCGAGGCTGAAACATACCGATACCTGGGTATGTCACAGAACATCGGTGTAGATGAGGCGGGTATGAAACAGTCAGATTGCGATGTGTTTTATGCACGCTTGACCAAAGTGCTTAACAGCCTTTTGTCCGGTGTCAATAATACGCACGCATATAACGGTTGGGTCATGCCTGTTCTTATGTATACCTTTGGCATACTTAGGTGGACTCAGACCGAACTAAACGCTCTGGACAGAAAAGTCCGCACTATAATTACGTCCCACAGGATGCATCATCCGGGATCGTCAGTAATGAGGCTGTACTTGCCGCGGAAGCATGGTGGGCGCGGCTTTTTAAGCGCGCTTACCATGCATAATCGCGAAGTGTGCAGCCTCCGTAATTACTTTCTGACGAGAGCGGATGATCCATACTATAGGGACGTTATTTCTTGTGATAAAGGACTGACCCCTCTATCCTTAGCCAACGAGCAATGGCAAGACCCAGCAGTACAGTGCATTTCCGACCGGGAGGCCGTATGGAAGGAGAAGGAGCTCCACGGGAGGTTCTACAAGGCTCTAAATGAGCCTTTCGTAGACACAGTCGCCTCCCTTCACTGGCTACGTTTCGGTGACCTCTTTGGGGAAACCGAGGGTTTTGTCTGTGCGATACAGGATCAGGTTATTAAGACCAACAATTATCGGAGATACATCCTAAAGGATGGCGCCGTCGACATCTGTCGAGCTTGTCGCCATCCCGGTGAGTCACTTAGGCATGTCATCTCCGGTTGTTCAGCGCTTTCTAACTCTGAGTATTTTCACAGACACAATCTAGTAGCCAGGATTCTACACCAGGAGCTCGCTCTGAATTACGGCCTAGTGGATCGGAAACTGCCGTATTATAAGTACTTGCCGGAAGCCGTGCTCGAAAATGACCGCGCCAGGCTCTACTGGGACCGGGCCATCATCACAGACAGGACTATTCTTGCGAATAAGCCTGATATTGTGCTGATGGACCGGGCACAGTCAAGGATCTTTTTGGTCGACATTACCATTCCTTATGACGAGAACCTCGTGAAAGCCGAAACAGATAAGGTGACAAAATATCTGGACCTGGCTCACGAGGTTACCGGCATGTGGGGTGGTATGCCGACCGAAATTATTCCTGTGGTCGTTTCTGCGAACGGGTTAATCCCAGTCAGCCTCCCGGGTTATCTAAAGCGACTGGGACTCCGTGACGGACCGCTCCAGGCTCAAATGCAGAAGGCGGTGCTCCTCGATACCGCCCGCATCGTCCGCCTGTTTCTTTCCCTTTCCCCCTAACCCTCGGCCGTCTGGTCTCCCCTGCCGAGGGCTTCCATCTGGTTGGGTTTTTATATATTTATGTATTTATTTTATTTTATTCATATTTATGTATGTTTACCATTTTCATTTACAATTATATATTTATACAGCCCAACCAGATGAGAAAACTTTATAGATACCCCAAAATAATAATAATAATAATAAGGCGTAGGGAAGTGACGACCCCACCGCCCGCTGACGTAACAGTTAAGTGACAAAACTGCTACGTCAGTGCAGTCAGTCAGCGCCTTGCCAAGAGGTGTGTGCGCCGAGCCTCGGCAGAATTGAGGGGCAAAGGTCCGTCTGTGCTTATGGCCGCACCATGAAACGGTGCCGGGCCTGGGCGTCTCCCGTTAATTGACGCCCATATAATGGATGATGGAAAATAAAAGAGTGCGCAAAGGGCCGCTGCCTGGAGGTCGCCAGGGCGCGTCTGGAGCTGGCGCTGGACGCGACAGCATGCGGGTCGCCAGCCAAGCGCGGGGGGCTGCAAGACCACCTAGTAGCCGCCCGCATCCATCATCCCCACCAGAGGGCTTGGTGTCGGCTGGGTCTTCTCGGACTCAGCAAGTGGCACCCGCCGCTGGTGGAACACGTCGCATGCGTTGGACAAAAATCATGAACGCAAACGCATTGCGAGCGTATTTTAGGGCAAAAGGGGAAGAAACTGGAATGTTGGCGTATCGGGCTCGGATGCATCGCTTTTTCGCGGAGCTGGAGCCATCTTTTCATGTATCAGAGCAAAGCCTGGCAGACCGAGTTCGGTACATCCTGCGCTCCAACATATTTGGTGACGCCGAACTCGAACGACTACGACGTGAGGCCGTTCCCTCATCGAATGAAAATGCTGCAGCTGGTAATGCGACGCCACAAATTGCAGAACAATCTGCACACGTCGATGCCGCCGCGGATTTTCCAGTTGTAGTTGATTCAGACGATGATGGAATGGTCACCCATGAACTAGAGCAGATGAGGAGTAAATTGGAGGAGGCGATTGTGGAAACGCGCAGTACGCCTCTCGAAAATCGACCGCGACTACCGCGCATAACCCTAAGCAAGCGGAATCGGGCTGTCGTGAGGGCTCTTAACCCAATGCTGGTCACCTATTTGGAAGCCAGCCGGGACCTTTGCGAGACGGACTCAGTTCTCTTTTGCGCCGCACTGGCAGTTTGCCGTATTATTGGCGCCAAATTTCCCACGGCTGGACGCGCTACTAGACAAAGTAGCGCCATCCCAGCCTGGAGAAGAAGGATTGAGGACCGTATCGCAAAGGCAAGGGTCCTCATCGGCAGACTGATAAGCTTCAGGTCGGGCAATAATAGGCCGAGAATTGTGCGCACCATCAGGATGGCGTTTGCTGGGACAAATATCAGTTTGTCCCAGTCGGATATAACGCAAAAACTGACGAAGCGCATAGACGACCTGAAGCAGAGAATCGCTGCTTGGGGGAAGCGGATTCGGCGATATACCGAGAGGTCGACACGGTTCAACCAGAATCGTCTCTTCCAGAGTGATCAGAAGAGGCTCTATGAATTATTGGAGCGACCGATGGTACGTGGAACGGGCCCAGCACCGAAACAGGCCGACACTATCGCATTCTGGCGCGGCCTGTGGTCAGAGCCCGTAAACCACAGCGAGGGCCCTTGGACGGAAGTTGTGGCGAGTCAGTGTGCGAATATTACGCCCATGGACCCCGTCATCATAACGCTGGATGACGTAGCTGAGGCGGTCCGTAGGGCCCCGAACTGGAAAACTCCGGGACTCGACGGACTGCATCACTACTGGCTGAAGGGGTTCGTGGTGTGTCACGCTGTGCTCGCCCGACAGTTTCAAGAGGCTCTCGACCAAAAGTCGCTCCCGAGCCTCTTCACTACTGGGATCACTCATTTGGTTCCTAAAGACCGGGATTCCACAGACCCGAGCAAGTACCGCCCTATAACATGTCTACCTACCATATACAAGACACTAACATCCATTTTGAGCGCGAGAATCACTCGTCACCTGAACTCAAATCAGGTGATGTCGCGCGCTCAAAATGGATGTCGGGGCGGTGGTCGTGGAACCAAGGAACCACTCCTCATTGACGCGGTCATTGGCAAAGTGGTTAAACGCAACCGTCGGAACCTATCCGCCGCCTGGATAGACTACAAAAAGGCATTCGACTCGGTGCCTCATACATGGATTAAGAGGGTCCTCGAGCTGTACAAGGTTGACTGTACGGTTCGAGACTTCTTTGGGCAGTGTATGGGGCAGTGGAGTACGATCCTTTGTCATCTAGGCCAGCGGATGATGGCTGCGGAGAACCACATAAGGATAAGAAGGGGTATCTTCCAGGGCAATTGTTTGAGTCCAATCTGGTTTTGCCTCTCTCTGAACCCTCTCAGTACCTTACTGGAGGGTTCCGGGAGGGGATTTCAGCTTCGGAAAGGAGGTACAAAAGTGACCCACCTTTTCTATATGGATGATCTCAAGTTATTCGCCTCCAGTCGCTCCCATCTTGTGGAATTGCTAAACATCACTGTGATTTTAGTAATTCTATTGGAATGGAGCTGGGGACGGATAAGTGTGCGATCCTCCATGTCGAAAGGGGAAGGGTTGCTAACTCTGAGGGCATGGACTTATCTATGCCCATCAGCATAAGGACCCTTTCCGAGGCTGAAACATACCGATACCTGGGTATGTCACAGAACATCGGTGTCGATGAGGCGGGTATGAAACAGTCAGTTTGCGATGTGTTTTATGCACGCTTGACAAAAATGCTTAACAGTCTTTTGTCGGGCGTTAATAAGACACACGCTTATAACGGCTAGATCATGCCTGTTCTCATGTATACCTTTGGCATACTCAGGTGGACTCAGACCGAACTGAACGCTCTGGACAGAAAAGTCCGCACTATAATCACGTCCCACAGAGTGCATCATCCGAGATCGTCGGTAATGAGGCTGTACTTGCCGCGGAAGCGTGGTGGACGCGGCTTTTTAAGCGCGCTTACCCTGCATAATCGCGAAGTGTGCAGCCTCCGTAATTATTTTCTGTCGAGAGCGGATGATCCATCCTATAGGGACGTTATTTTTTGTGATAAAGGACTTACCCCTCTATCCTTAGCCAACGAGCAATGGCAAGACCCGGCAGTACAGAGCATTTCTGACCGGGAGACCGTATGGAAGGAGAAGGAGCTCCACGGGAGGTTCTACAAGGCTCTACATGAGCCTTTCGTAGATACAGTTGTCTCCTCCACTGGATACGTTTTGGTGACCTCTTCGGGGAAACCGAGGGTTTTGTCTGTGCAATACAGGATCAGGTCACTAAGACCAACAACTATCGGAGATACATCCTAAGGGATGGCACCGTCGACATTTGTCGAGCTTGTCGCCATCCTGGTGAATCACTTAGGCATGCCATCTCCGGTTGTTCGGCGCTTTCTAACTCTGAGTACTTGCATAGGCACAACCTAGTAGCCAGGATTCTACATCAGGAGCTCGCTCTGAAATACGGTCTC